GGGGCCACCTTGTGAATAAGGAGGAGAAGCGAAGCGTGTCAGTCAGCCCCAAGCGCTTAACAACCCTCGCACGGCTTACGGGACCCCAGGGTGCTGGAAACTTGGAATACTTTGGAGCTTTTCTTTTGTGTGTGTGGGTAGATGCTTCTGCTTCCTCCCGGCCCCGAGCTTTGTGAACAAGCCTGCAGTTAATCGTGGAATTTCAAACATGCGTGTTTACTTTCAGGAACCTAACTTTAAACTTCACCAGCTCGCTTTCGTCTAAACCGGCTCAGTTTCCCATATTTCACTGGCTGGGGATGGTTTGTGGGGAGCGTTTCCTTTGTGTGCTTACCCTGTAAGGCCTCTTGGGAGCTTCAGAGACTGGCGTATTTTAAAACTTGGCAATAACTCTACATATGTGGTCTGTTTATATAATGATAAAGCTGTGTTAGAGTATTAGAAATTTCCTAGTAGTACTGAGTTGCTTTACACCTAGGTTTTACTCTCGCTTGTAAAAGTCTCCCCTGGCCTGAGGAGCAGCGGGTCTGGCAGAGGCAATATTAATCTTTGAAAATCAGCTAGAAAATACTATATATTTTTAGTCCAGAAGACAATATCATGGTAAGTTTTACTGGAACTGATTCTTAGCTCTATGGGGAGGGTGTTGGCAATGGGAGGAGGTGAGTTGTTCTGCCTTACCCCGTGAGCCTTGGTGGTGACAGGACTTAACTCTGAAAATCAGTGCAGGGGACACTGTGCTGCCTGGACCAAAAAACACCCTGATGTGCAGGTAAGTCTGAACGTAACAGTCATTGTGGGGATGTGATAATTACTTGCAAATCCCTCTTCAGCTTAACATGCTTTGATTTAATTATTAATAAATCTTAGCAGAAAAAAAATCTGATCGTGTGTCTAAACCTGTGATTTAATAGAGTGTCCTGCAGTATCTGCACTGTTAAGATTATATCCTACAGACAGATTGGATTCAAATCACTTCCAAGAGGGGTATTTATTTATTTATTCCAATCTAATGATTGTTTTCCTCTAGAAATGTACTTTATCTTTTTATATATGTTTTCAAGACAGAGCTCGTTATGCTGTGTTTGGCAGCGCAGAATCTGTTTAAAATACAATTTAAAAATTTTAAAGGTAGGGAGTTTGCAGCCGCCCGCCATTGCTGGGTGCCAAAGCCTACTGGTCATCTTGCTCTCCAGTTTGCAGCGGACTGGTTTAGATGACAGTGTTACTGGTATAGAGTAAAACACCCCTTGGTTCTTGACTCGCTGTGTCCGTTCCAGTTCCCCCAGTAACACACTGCCCGTCCTCGGAGGGGCTGGGGCAGCAGCCCCACAGGGAGCTTTGCAGGTGCTGGTGCCCACACAAGTTGCTGCCGTGGAGCCAAGTCTGCTGGTGAGAAGTCTTGGATGTGCCAAGTTCAGTTTATCTCCCGCTCTGGACTAATTAGAAGCAATAAAGCCAAGCGCAGGAGGGGATGATGGGCCCAGCTGCCTTTGTGTCAGGACCCTGTGCTGCCGTCCTGAGACTGTGTGTAACAACAGTTTGAGACGACACTAATGTTCACCTCCATCCCAAGTACAGTCCATGCGGGGGATTTTGGTTCATTTTAGCTGGGTGGTGTGTTGGAGTTGTCTGCTCTGGCTTGTGCTGGAGATGAGTCAGGACAGAAAGAAGCAGGCAGGTGCTGAGAATCACAAAGGGAAGTGAACAGGCTTGTTCATAAAGATATTTCAAATGCATTTTGTTTTCAAATACCAAGATCTCGATTTTGAAAAATTGTTAATTTCATAGAGAACAAAAATTGGAGCAGGATTTTAATTATAATATGGAATTCAGGGATGGAGTTATGGTCAGCACTTCTATATAAATCTGAATTTCTTTTTTTAATGCTCAGCAGTGACCTAGATGGCATCAATTTGGTTATTGCAAATCAAGCTAAAAGAATGATTTTATGCTTCCACTTAAAATGATTTTTGTAAGTCCAGTATTTCCTTTAAAATTATTATTGCCACCCCAGTCTTTTATGAACCTTTGGCATTGCCTGAAATGATTATCTGCCTGCGGGAACAACTTGCCTTTATAGCCCTCTTTGTAGTGTTCCTCTCTGTATTGGAGCTAAAGCTTCTGTAAATACATGTTTTGACCTTCAAGGAGATGCTGCTGTCTTATCACAGAAGCCTGGCTATTCTAAATTGAATGCTGGGACCACTCTTAATCACTTGTTCTCTCTCCTAATGTGCCATTATCCTGTTTATTGCTGCGTGTGTGGCGCTGAGCCTCTCCGTGGCACTTCAACAAGAGGCTTACTCAAAGAGGCACAGCGTTCAGGCTATAATGAGCGTTAATGATGGAGCAGGTGAGCAAAGCCTCCGCGGATCTGGCTGTCAGAAATGCTACTTGTTCAGTCGAAGAGTGTGTTGAGTGCAGGGCTGCACTGCAGAGCACTTTTCTCTCTGCCAGGGCCACACACCAACGTGCCATCGGTTAAGTAATGTTTTAGACACACAGCTCGTTGGCTGTGTGGGGATGGGAAGTAATTCTGGGCTGGTGTCAGACATTATTGGAGTAAAAGGTAGATGCTTTGCTTACCTGGAGTAAAAGGAAGATGGGAATGGCGTGGTCTGATGGTTTTCCGACTACAGTGAAGGCTCTTAATTTTGTTTGTCTGCTTTTCACTGAGAAATAGGTCTTGTTTTTGCCAGTCTTCTAAAGTTGATGAAATGAGGAAGAAAGGGAAATACTATTTTTTTCTTGCTGACTGTGAGTGTTTCTGTTGCTTACTCAGGTAAAGCTCTGGCAACTCACAGTGGTTTTGTCTTCTGATTAAAAGGAACCAGGTTGTTGTTTTGTCTTTTTGGTCTTGCTGGGTGTGATTTGGGGCAAGAAACTGCTGCTTGCAGGCTGTTTGAAAAGTTTCACTGAACATTGTGTACTTAGAGTTATCAGTGATTCTCATCTATAAAGGTCAAGCAACTTTTTAAGTTGTGGATGCGACAGGTCTTCGTCATCGTTTCTGAACACCTTCTGAAAGACTGAAAACTCCACCTGCTACAGAGAGTGAGAATAAAATCCAGGTTTTGACCTTTTTTGACAACTACAAGTCTTGAATTTGTAGTAGTGCAGATTGTTACTATCTGCTAGGGATGAAATGGAGAATGAATGTACACTTGTTCTCTTGGTGGTTGCTCTGTCGTCCCTGTGGCTGGGTGACATTGTGTGTTTGTTTCTCATGACACTGAGTTGTGGTTACTTGGGAGTGGGTGAGTTGAATGGGCAATACCATGGATTTGTCAAGCTGACATTCAGTGCCCAAAATTATTTGTAATTGTTAGTCACACTGACACCCAACGGGCTTGATCAGTAATGCTCAGTCAGCTTTTGAGAGCACTCACACAGTGAAGATGCAGAAGTTTTCATGAATTAGCATTTGCACAAGGTTTCTTGACTGTTGGTTTGATCAGCCTTCGCGTGTTGAACCAAGAAGATGCATACGAACATGGATCTAATGAATTACAGTGAGTAATTGCTGTGCTGAGGGTAAGCTTGAAGTCCACGCTGTTTGCTGGATCGGTGCAGGTACTCCTTGGGCGGTCTGACTTGCGACGGTGGTCTGAGGTTAGGTTTCAAATTGAAGTCATTAAAATATCCCTGCAGAGAAATCGGCTTTTGGAGCTTTCTGGAGCATGAAGGCGGTGGTGTTATCCAGGACACGGCGTTGACGCTGCTGTGTCGGGTGTCATCCACAGGTTTCATTGACAGTAGCTTACACAGTCCTCCACAGTGTGACTCTCAGAAGTGGCCTCTGCAGGGTTTCTGCAGCCGTGGCTTCTCGTGCTGGTCTCGAGCTTTCTGCTTCACCTGTCTTGATCTTGGAACGCCTCCCCAGCTGGTTTAATTGGGGTTTTGAAACAACTGAAATTAAACCAGCCTCTAACTTGTGAAGCCTTTGACTCTTTCCCTGTTTTGGGGGCCATATAACAAGCCCCAGGGCCTTTCAAGCTGCTCCTTAGATGTTTTGGCAAAAAGCTGGTGCTTGTGGAGAATCTGGGCAAGGAGGAGAAGTCGACTGATTCTCCAGCTTGGCTCAGCCACCCTGTTTCCTAGATCTTTCTAAAGTGCTCGTGGCTGGCTGTGGCTTCACCCCAGTAGCTGTGATGGGGGATTTGAGCCAGGGCTTGGACCAGGTGGACTTTGTTCCAACTCAAATTTCTTTCTGTAATTCTAGTAACACTGGGAAGCTTTGAGCCTGAGTTAGCTTTGTTGCTGGAAGCCCCCCTTGTATCTGTACGCCCATGATGGGGTTTGAGGGAGCCAGCACGGTGTCTGTATAATTAATTTCAAGGTTTGATTTCATAGATGCCAAACCTGTGCAGGAGAGGGTGGTGGCACCTCTGCAGCTCCTTTGTGCAGAAGGCACGTCTTGCTGTTTGTCTAACCCGGAGCCGCACAGGTTAGCGAGTCTCCTGTGAAATGAAGGAAGTTGTAGCCATTCATCTTTCAGCCTAATGGACCACAGAAATTACAAGCTGTAGCATGCAGCTTAATCTTGCCACGAGGCAGAGCGCTGCATACTTTGCCTTCAATTTATGCATGCCATGCCTTTTTATTAAATGGAAAAGAGCAGTTGACAGGATTTCTCCAGAGGACTTGCTTCGGCTATACCTGGTGGATAGCCAGCGCATTTCAATATATAGTAAAATGAATGATGGTGGTTTCTTTACCATTCCTAACAACCACCTTTGAAATTTGAGGGCAGAGTTAAGGACTATCCTCTGTGTGTCAAGCAGCAGAGGAGAGCGAGACGGCTCTTTTCGTTTTAACCCTGTAGATGACCCATTTCTTGAAGCATTTCTGTTGCTGTCAGGAGATGCAGGAAGGGCCGGAGCAGCGGTTGCGCATCTGTGCTTGGTCAGGCCTTCAGCCAGAGATGGCTCTTTGCCGCTTTCTTTTCTGTGTTCCTCCTTGTATTATAACTTTGAATTGTCTCTCTGTTGTTGCAGTGTGCAGAGGAGTGAATGCCCCATGTTGTGTTAGTGCCTGTCTGCCATGCTGGCCTGTCTGCCAGGACCAGGTGACCTCTCCTTTCAGCTTCTTTCTTACACGCAGATGAACACTGGACTTCAGAAATGTGAGTGACGTTTTGTCTGCAGGATGTGGTTAACTGTTAAATCTGGCTCTGGTACAGCTGTGACATAAAACTTTTAGGATACAGTGGAAAAAACTATTTAATGTTAGAGTCTTTCTTTTGTTATGCCTTCAAGGCATCCATCAATAATGGCTCTGAGAAATCGCTGTGGAGGTTCATGTGTGTGCAGCAAGCTCTCCCCCCCCTCCCCTTCCTGGCTTTATAAAGGTTAATTTTAACCACAGCAAGATGAAATGCAAGTGAGGTTTCTGTGAGATTCGTGCCTCTTTGCTGAAAACATTTTGTGCTAAAACTGTGTCAGCTGACTTGCTTCTTAACACAACTTTTTCCTGACTCTTCTTCACTTCCATTCGTTTAATTACTTGTAGACACCAATAAAAGTTGGATCAGGCTAATGCAAACCTTTTGAGGTCAGCAGCTCTGTTGTTCTACATACCTGGGGCATGTACTGCAAATATTAGTGATCTAGCCCAAATTACTAAAGTTCAAAGTTTCCATCTTCTTTCTGATGTCTCTTTGGTGCCTCTGAAAATACGTCTGCAGAGTACTCTGATAATTCTTTTTTTTATAACTTCAGTCGTTAATAGTTGTACTAGTATTTTTAAGAAGAACTTAAGCTTGGGAATGTAAGTTTACCGGCTAGAGATTTTTTTAAATCTTACTGTGTGTCTCCTCTTTATCACTGAAGTTGCACATTGATTGTTCAGCTGAAATTTCAGAAATTCCTATGTAAGGTCCAACTTAGTTCTTAGGGCTGTGACCTGTCTCTTGGATTTGAAATGTGCATTGGGAGATCTCTGTACCCTCAGTTTGCTGATGGACTCGTTGCTCTTTAAAACCAAGTAATTTACACTCCAGTTAGAGCTAGAATTGTTATTATGTTAAGTCTTGTGGTGCTACTGAAAATAGGTAAGATAATTTTCCAATTAAGGGTGACATGCTTAAGCCCTGCCAGAGGTGAATGACACTCTTCACGTACACAAGTGTGCTCCCCTACAGCACTCGCGTAGCAGTTTTGCCAACTCCATGGGCTTGGTAATTGTAACGATGCTTTTGGCAATAGTAAAAATCTTTTTACTCACTTCAGGACTTCCTTAGATGGAATGAAACTGGACGTTCCCCTCCTTTCTCTATTCTGTTTCCAGTTGGAGGTTTGCTGACCGAAACGTGGGTTGGTGTTTTTTTTTTTTCCAAAGGTAGGCTGTTGTGGTGGACTAGGTCCTTGCGTTACGTGAAGTTTCTTTGGTGGCTCAGAAAGCTTAGTTCTGAAAGCAAATGGGTGAGGTTCGTGTGAGGGCAGCTGTGCACAAATCAGGTATTTGCTAATTACACGTTTATGAGGCAGCGTGCTGGTATGTGGGCAGTTTCTTAACCTGATGGTACCTGATGCCGTTTCTGAGAGCTGCTTATCCCCGTGCTGAAGGCATCGCTCTATCCTGCTTAGTGAAGAGCTTCGGGTACTGCATTTAAAAGAATTTAGGGCATAAAGTAGCTGGCAGGCACTGGCTGGCAGTGGTAACGCTCAGCTGTTCCAGTTTGTTCTGATTTAGATGGAAAATGAAACTGCTCGTGCAGCCCTTGCTCACCCCTGCTGCAGATGTGTGTAAGATTAATTGGTGCGTTTCACTCCATACTGTATATGCACAAGTAGTCTAGCCCCTGGCCAAAGGAAAGCTGAGTTAATGAGCATTTTTAATGAATGGTGACTTGTGACTTTTGATGGGGGGTTGGAAGGAGGCTTTAACAATAGTGCTATTGCTTTTGTAAAAGGCACAGAACTCCACATGATAGCCTTTATTCAGACTTACACTGTTTGTATTAATAATTTTTTAAGTGTAGTTTTCTGGATCAGACTTTTTATTAACACTTTAAAATCCACATTAGTCCAATTATCTTTTTTTCTTACTCACTTTCAAATAAGAGGCATTTTTCTTAAAGATGGTCTGTGCAGTAGGAGTTTTGTAGATTAATACACATATTTTTTCCCCTCAGAAACTGATCGCTACAGGACTTCCAATTTCAGTATTTTTCTTTGAATTCTCACTTGCATCACAGGAAAGGCTAACCCAGAAATTTGTCTTTATCCATGCAGAGGACTTCTCACTGACTCCATATTGATATTCTCTCCTTCTTCCCAGTGACTCCAGTATAAATCTGAGCAATCAACCAGGATACTTGAGGCAAGACTGTTTGGGCAGCGTCTGCAGCTGCTGTTGGACGTGGGGTGATTTTTTGTGACAATAGGGCATCGTAAAGCTTCTCGAGGAGCTTTTGGGGGTAGGGACAAATGAGAGAGGAGCAGGTTGAGACAGCACATGGGGTAATCAGCTAAAATTGAACCCTTTCTATGGGTGAGGGTAGAGAAACTGCTGCAGTTGAGATTTTTATGCAGAAAATGGGCACAGCTGTTTTTCGCTTGTCCCGACGCCGATGCTCTCATTAGGGTAGAAATCCTGAAGGCCTGTTTGTATTTTGTTTAATGCTAATGAAAATTTAACTGTAGGCAGTTCTAAAAGCAGTGGGTTTTAAAGCCTTAATGTGAAACGCACTTAAAAGATGCTACATTAGTGCTGAGGTGAGGCAGAGAAATATATCTCATTTTGTGATAAAAATAGCTCCTCCAGCGGCGAGACGCGCACAGGAATGTGACCAGATGAATCGGTTGCCACGGGATTAGCAGGAGTGTGAACTTGCAGCTCACCAATTTATTGGAGTAATTGCTCATCTGCACGCTTTACGTTATAGTAAACATGAAATAATTACTTTACAACAAAAGTAATCTGTCTTGCATTTACCGTTCGGTAACTTCGTAGAGCTCATCCTATTGCTTTCTTAATGTATCTTGTTCATCTGCCATCCTCCTCAGCATTTTATGGCCTGTTCAAGAATTCTTACACTTGTGGTATTCCAATACCAGTGTTTTCTTTCGGTCTATTCTAGCTGGTTTTCCATTCACTTAGTAACCAGACCTAATGGTTCTTTACTGGTTTATAGGATATTTCTATGGAATATTGAGGCTCTGTTTGAAATGGTGGTTGATTCCAGAAGATCCTGTCCAAAGGATTTAAAATACGTTTCGCCGTTTGGTAGGGTGCTAAACCTGATGTTGGTGCATCATTTAAGTTTTAACTGAGGGGTTATTTTCTCTGATCAGAGGAAGGAGTTCTACATTCGGGCTTAGAGATGTGTTGTACCCAATAGCCACAGCCTATTCAGACATTGATGTTTTAGCTGCTTTCTAAAAGCTTCCATCACAGTTCCCACGTAAAGGAAAAATAGATACTTGAGTAAAAAAATATTTAGTGTATCTGTTCAGTGTTTATATTTACCACCTAATTTTCTAATATGGCTGTAGAAATGTAAACCAGGCTGGGAACTTTTGATGGTAAAGGTGTCTTAAAGGATCTACTTAATTTTTCATTTGAAAATAAAAGCTTTATACGACAATGGGCGTAACAGCAACATAAACCGTAATACAGACAGGAGTGGGTTTCTTTGTCCATTGTTGATGGTTCTTCTCTGATTCGTGGTGAGTTGCAAGGGTCGTTTCTTGGGGAAGAAGCAGAACTTGATGAGCGTGGGCAATGCTGAAAATAAAGGTTGGGAGTTCACGAAGGCCTTGGCTGTTGAGGCAAGGTAGGACCAGCACACTCCATGCAGAGGCTCTTCTCTGTGTTAGGAACATAGCAGCTGGCTCAAAAGGACAGACAGAAACCACCTGCCTGCGGGTACGGTGGTATGAACAGAGAGGATGTTCAGGTTAATATCAAATGAGTGTTTCCTTTGATTAAGAGAAAGGGTGGGATGTGCCAGTGTTTGGACAGCACAGAGAGTAAGAGCATAACCGGGGCGGTGGTATGTGCTGTGCTAGAGATGCAAGGCATCCTGCTTGCAAAGCTTCTTATTTCACAAGAGATATTATTATTATTTCTATAATTAACCTTTCTTTTGGTATCCATCCTCTTTTCCATTTTCTGGCCCTTACTTTCAGAAAAGTGAGTGCTCTTAGAGCAGTTCTGCTCTCCTTCACCCGTGAAGACAGGAAGATGCAGGATGCAGAGAGAGAGAGAGAGATGGGTGGTAGTAAGACTTGAGCTGTATTCAGGAGCCTTTTGCAGGCGATTTGCAAGGGTTGTTTTCCTGGGAGCATCCAACTCTTTACTCTGGAGCATTAGATTTCCTTGGGTCAGAGGGCCAGATGTGGGGCTGGGGTGCTCTTGGGCTCTGGAGGAGCCGGCTGCCGCGTCTCCCGTTCTTTCAGCACAGCAGCAGATGGCATAGGGATGCTGAAAATTTTCACAAAAAGGGCGGATGGTTTTTTTTTTTTTTCCAGTAAACTGTTTGTAAGGTGGTGCTGGGGAAAACAAGCAAAAGCAAAATCGGATTGTCAAACTGCAAGCCGTTATTTGAAGATTATAAAATCACTTCTAAAGCAGTAGTCCCATAGGAGTTAAGCAGCAGAGCTGAGGTAGGGGAACGGCCCAACTCTCTGCTTGGAATGTGATTATAGCCAGAGAGGCACAAGCATTTCCTTAGATTTCTGAAGCTGCTGAAGCAGTTCGAGCTTGTGGGCAAGGTAGGTATCTGGTAAATCAAAGTCAAACCACAACCCTGTCTCCAGAAGTCTTTTGTCTGTGCCTGGGGAGTGGCATGTTCTTAATCTTGTTGGGTAATCATGTAATTTTGCTGTGTGATAGGAGGATGCTGTCCTGAGCAAGGTGCCACTCTGAAAATTCAGCCAAGGAAATAATTGCAAGCCATAAAATAATGCACGTGTAGCCTCCTTCCATTTGCTGAACTTGGACTGACAAGGGCTTCCTAATGGACGAAAAGACACTCAAAGTGCTTTCAGATGTCAGCGTCTAGGAAAGAACTCAGATGTAAATGGAGGCTTGAGCTGAAGTGCTTCGTATGGTTCCCACCTCAGCATTACACGGGTTTAATGTTTAATTCATAACTTTCTGATTTCTGAATTACACGGTAAAGATACTGAGAATGGCTTGAAGAGCCATGGGGAGGCAGCCTTAAATTAAGAGAATAGAAACTCACCCACCACCGCAAGCAGTAAGAAATATTTCAACCCGGAGACAATCCGATGTTTATAGCATGTTGCCTGTTTTTGTCCAACTGTAGATACACTCTGATCAAAACACTGGTTTCATTTTGCTCCCCTGGGCAGGTCTTGCCTTAAGCTGAACTGGGGGTTGCATTGGTCACCAGGTAATAAAGGGAATGAGGTACCTGGTACGCAGTCTGCTGGTCTGGGAAGATGAAGTTCTTGCCTCTTGATTCCTTGGAGATTTTCTACCTTTGTTGTGCAATTGTCTTGCCCTGGGGTTGATCCCTTGCTTATCAGAATCGGTATTGACGAATTTCCTTTCTCCACAGGGGACACTACACAGAAAATGAGATCTGCACAGTATCCTACCCCAGCAGAATTGGATGCTTATGCTAAGAAGGTCGCCAACAATCCACTGACTATCAAAATTTTTCCAAACAGTGTCAAGGTTCCCCAGAGGAAACACATACGCCGTACTGTGAACGGACTTGATACTTCGGGCCAGAGGTACAGTCCTTACCCGTCTCAGGCCACCACGAAAACAGGCCTCCTGGCGATAGTCAAATCTCCAGCGAAAGGAATTATCAAAGACTTTGACGGGACGCGCGCGCGTCTGCTGCCGGAAGCGATGATGAATCCCCCTTCCACACCATACGTTGCACCTAGCACTTTAACCCACCCCCAGGCGCTCGCTCGCCAGCAGGCTCTCCAGCATGCACAGACTTTGCCGCACCCCCAGAGCATCCCGCAGCCACAGACTCTGCAGCACCCTCAGGGTATACCACAGCCACAAAGCTTACCGCACCCTCAGGGGATACCGCAGCCCCAGGCGCTGCCGCACCCTCAGAATATGCAGCAGCCGCAGGGCTTGCAGCATCCTCAGACCATGGCACACCAGACTCTGCAGCACCCCCCCAACCCTTTGCTGCAGCCGGGTTTACATGGAAGCAGAAAGATGCCGGATGCAGACGCGCCGCCGAATGTGACCGTGTCTACCTCAACCATTCCCCTCTCTATGGCTGCCACCCTGCAGCAGAACCAGCCACCGGACCTGAGCAGCATTGTGCACCAGATTAACCAGTTCTGCCAGGCCAGAGCTGGCATTAGCACTACCTCAGTGTGTGAGGGACAGATTGCAAACCCCAGCCCTATAAGTCGCAACCTGCTTATCAATGCAAGTACCAGGGTATCTACTCACAATGTCCCTACACCCATGCCTTCCTGTGTAGTAAACCCTGTAGATCATGCTGCTGCTGCTATTCCTCCTGCCTCTGTTAACGTGCCCATGGTGAATATTAACAGGGTGCCGCCTGCCTACCAGAACGAAATCAAATCGGTTGCGTGGAACCAGCACCAGCTTGCACATCTGCAGCAAATGTGTGGGGATGCTGCTGGGCCTGCTGGACTCGCAGGGAAGCACCCTCAGAGAGAGATGGCAGGGCAGAGTTTCCCCGGCAAAACTTCAAACTACCCTCAAGAACTGTGCATGGGCCAGTCCTTCAGCTTGAAGCCCCCCATCGAGAAGCCTACGCCTTCTCCGCCTGTGAACGGGTTGCAGGGACCCTTGCCATATACCAATGGGCACTATTTCCAGCCCATCTGGAATAACATTCTGCCCACGCCCAACAGTGACAGCTCTGGGTCCCAGGACCTCGCCATGCCTTTCCACGGGGGACAGCCGGCAGGAGCGCCGCTAGATTGTGCAGGAGGAACTCATTACAGAGCTGGAGCTGGCCCATCCAGCCAGAATAATGTGATGCAGACCATGGATTACCTAAGTGGGGACTTCCAGCAGTCCTGCTTCAGAGATCAGAGCATGGCCGTGCTGGGAAAAGTCCATCGGCCTCCCATGAACCGAGCACCTGAACCAACCGATAGTCGAAATCTTCATATTCAACACCCAGGGTATAGATAGGCTGCAGTCACTTTCACAGACAAAAATTATAGGTTTAGTCTTAATTTTAATTAATAAGCAAGGCATTTTTAACTTGCAAACTTGTGTGATCATTATAAGTAACCCTTGGAAGAAGACATACTGTATATTTAAAAGCTTTGCTTACATGTTATCTATCTCCTTTATGCATCAAATATTTAACATGCCTTTTGTTTCAAAAGAATTCCATTACACTACTTCACGCCGCAGCTGTTTCCTCACCGCAGAATCCCCTTTGTGCAGCTTTTGCCTTCTGCTGGGTAGCTCCTCTCTGGACTGATGTTGAGTTGCTGCAGGGTTTGGCAGTTGCATCTGTTCGCCAGCTCCGTCAAGAGCGAGGGAGCGGAGCTGCTTAAATTTCCATCTCAATTTCCTCTGAAGATTAAGAGCAACAGAATTTGTCAGGAAGCGGGGCTTATTTTCGACTCCGAAGCCCATTTCATTAATGCATTAAACATTGACCATTTGCACTGTCTAGAGGCCTATTTAATTGAAAAAGAAGCCTACGTTTGAAAAGAGCTAGTAGGGTATGTATTTAGGCGTTAATATAGGAAGAAGCTTTTCAGCTGTTTCTTGCCGAGACGCCCGTCTTTATCATTTAGACTTTGTCCAAAGTCAAAAGTCTCTGGCAGATTTTTCTGACGCTTTTGTGTTTTTTTGTGGACAGGGTATGGAGGAAGAGGGGGAATGGCGGGTCTAGGAGGTAGGCAGCCTCGCTGCTGTAGTTAATCTGCCTTTTTTTTCTGCATTTCGTTTCCCTTCCCTGCTCCCCCCTTTTCGCCAGCCTAAGAGCTAACTTTGTATGATGAACCCCTCGCTGCTAGGAGTCTGGCCGTCCTGACGTGAAGGGAATCCAGACCCACTGACAACTCCAAAAAAGGGTTCAGTCGCTTCTCCGGTAGCTAGAATTCATTTTCAGGGCAAGGAGACATTAACTCAAACTCGTCTCCGGTGCAATGAGCGGGGCGACGTGGCACGGTCCCCATGTGGCAGCGGTACCCCCGGGACGGGAGGGGGTTGATCCGAAGCGAAGCTCCGCTCACTCTGGGACCCAACGGGTCCCCTATCCCTCTCCATCAAAACAGCAAAACAATTCTCCTCTCTGGGAATTAGCAAAGCTATTTATAACATCCCTTTTTCCCAGGGTCTCGGTGCCTAACTCCTTCTGTTCCTTCCCCACGTCGCTTCCAGCAGCCAGTCGAGTCGGTGACCGTAGGACACTAACTATTGAGTAACCTCAGCGTCTCGTTCTCCTCAGTGTTACCCAAACACACCTTTCCTTTCTAACAGCCGAATTTGTTGTAAGTAGAAAATTCCTCATCTCTCTTAACGAGACTAATACTTGAACATAATGATCACAATCAAGTTTGGAAATTAAAAAAAAAAAAAAAGAAGAGAAAAAAAAAAAAAAGAAAAAAGCATTTGCAACCAAGAGAAAGGGACTTAAGTCCTCTCGGTGCTGTCGGATGGGGCTAAAAAAAAAAAAAGAAAAATTAAAAAAATAAATGCATTGATTCTTTATATGTACACTGGCTAAAAATATTGCTCTACACTGTAACTTTTAAGTGTAATATTTCTGTATGAATGTCGCCTGGTAGTGTGGGTTTGAGTAGCATTGTGTATGGGTGAACCCACTGGCCTCTGCCATCCACTGGCCTCCCTCACAGCCCTTTGAAAAACAAAGCCTTAAGTATTTGCTCCTTGAACTTTCCTTAACGAGCATGGTTTAAAAATCTTAAAAGACATCATACAAAGTTGAAAAAAAGAAAAAAAAAAAAAAAAAGAAAAAAAATACCAAGTTTTGAAGTGACGTCATAGTTGGCTAGAGATTCTTAAAAAGTTTTTCGTAAATGGGAAAATTAGAAAACATTTATTTGTATTTTTTTAATTTAGACGTGTAGTCCTGGGCTGTAACAAATATTTAGGTTTCAAAGCTTAGCAGAGTACGTTTTCTGACTCCTTGCGTAAGTTAGTACACTTATATCATGTCATTATTTAAATTCTTTTAAGTGTACTATAAACCGTTCTTTAGTGGTAACTCTTTAGCAAAGTTAAGCAATTTGACTAAAGACGGATTAAATTATGTGTTGGCTTGTGTTGCCTTATATTTAAAAAGGAAAAATTGCCTGATTGTGTTATGCCAAATGATAGCAACATGAAGTCCTAATTTATTGTTTATAATCGTATTCCTGCAGTCTTTGTGAAAAACTGGTAAATATACATCTATGAAAGAACTAAAATCCCGAGGCTTTTCATGCAATATTTTTCTGAATACACTCTATTGGAAGCCAAGGTTCGAGTCTGAAGCTGCTTCCCTTACAGTCCCCCCCCCGTCGTCCCAAAACCGATCTAGGGCTGTGCTATGACTTTAACCTTTCCTGCCGAGTTAGTTACTGTAAGGTGTTCTGCTACCTGAATACATACCTTTTTACTAAATAAAAATATTGGCATCTCCTCTGTTCAGTCGCCTGCTACAACTCTCAACTCAGACTCTTATTAAAAGCTGATTTTATTTTTAATTTTTTTTTATTTTTTTTGGCCTCCTGCTCTTCTCTCGAGGCGAGGGGAGCCCCGTGTTGGGGTGTTGGTGGCAGTGGTTCCTGTGTCGGGGAGGTGTTGGTGGTGGCAGCACGTGGGGAGTTGTTGGGGGTCGTTCCCCACGGGCAGACACAGGTAGAGCCACGTCCTCTGAGACTTTGCCCCTGTCGATAAATACTCCCGAGATTCACCCAGGTGGGACGTTGCTTGACAAAAAGGAATTGTTTTCTTATTAAAACGTTCTGAAATGCTTCCTTTTGTTACAGGAGTGAGATTTTTCTTTAAACCAACCCTTTTCACTTCTGCAGAAGCCTCTTCCTGGTGGGTTCTCCTTCCTTCTCCTTCCCTGCTACATCTGTGAAGAGAAACACAAACCAGGTTCACCTTTGAGAGCCAGCACCGAATATGCTGTGCCGACGCCTGGTGTGGTGACACAGAGGTGGCCCTGTCCCTCTCTGAGGTGACAAAGGGACTAGCAGCCGGTGGTCAGGTGTGTGGCAGGAGCTGTGCTCTCCTGGAAACGTCTGTTCCACACACGGTTGTAGTTCATGCTCTGCCCAGGGCAGAAATAAGAGTACCCCAAAGGCTGGGGACACACCTTCACCATGGGGTCTCCTGGGGACCCCGAGGCAGGTGGCCACCTGCCTTTGGGCTCCTGTCACAGCGCCTGGGTTGCCTTTCTGTCTGTCTTTTTGTCTGTGGGTTGGTGGTGGTTCCTCACCTCTGAGTGGGGCAGGAGGCTACGGGTCCCCTGAGGCATCCTGGCTACTTGCAGCTGACAGTTCTGCTCCTTGAGGAAAGAGTGAGGTATTTCCAGATGTTTTGCTGAGCTGCCTCATGGGCACTGACATCTGTCCCTTTCACAGTCCCTGTAAAGCAGAATATCATTATTTTGATGGTTCCTGGCACCTCCCTCGCCAACCAGAGGTGGGCACTGGGATCCTGGGAGGGATAATCATGAAACTGGTGGAAACCCTTCCACGCGGAGGTTGCCATCTCCGGCGTGTCTTGTCTTTGGAGCAGAAGCTTTGAAGCTGTTAAATCACGAGCCTGGTTTGTTACAGCCCAAAGTTACCATTTGATAAAGACACTTGTGCGTTTTCTTTAAGCTTGGGGTGTGAGAGGTGTCTCCCTGGGACTCGGCTGCTCCTGTGGAAACCAAACAGAAGTGTTTACTGGGGCTCACTGGGGAGAGAACTGGGAATTGCTGCTGTATTTCATTAAACCACAGACTGATTATAAACGCTGCTGCTTATGTGCTACGGGTACAAACCAGAAATTTTTTTTATTATTATTATTTAATTTTTTTTTTTGTCTGCAGGAAAAATAAAAAGGAAAAAAAAACAGAGAGAAAGAGAGGTCTGGTCCCTCAGCCCCTTCTGCTGGTTTCATGCAGTGTGAGTGTGTGGGGCTTGCCTGGCCGTGGTTGGCAGCACGGGGTGGGTGGTTGTCCCACAGGGAATTTGGGGACCCCTGGGTTCCTGGGGTACAACTGTGTTGGGCAGAGCCTGGCTGCTCTTCTCCGGTGAGAGCACCCAGAAGGTCTGGGAAAGCGGCAGAGCGAGGTCTCTGAGCCAGAAAGGTGCTGAAATAATGAATAAAAAGAGGAGGAGGAGGCAAGGAGGTGGTTTAAGTCCCGTCAAGGTGAACTCAGATTTTTGACATCGTCTGCGTGGGTCAGGGCTGTCCCTAAAGCTCTGCTTTCCCTGGGTGGGAGGGAAACACCTTGAGGAGACATCAGGTTGCTCCAGAAGCTGGACCTAGAAGCTGCTGCCCCTTCCAAGTGGTGGCCTAATGGTGTGTGTAATTAACATGAGAGTTTTCCTTATTAACATAATGCTAAATGCAATATTTTAAAGGAGATTCCTTAAATTTGCAGACCCCTTCCGGCAGACAGGAGCCGTGAGGGTTTGTTTTCTCCCCTTTCCAGCGATCATCATTTCATCTCTGTGGTTTCACCTCTGAGAGTGACACGGTTCAAACCCCGTCTCCTCTGCGGTGGCTGCAGACGTCGTGTGTCACAACCCTCTGACGGCAAACTGATCCCCTTCGTACCGTGTCCCCCCGATACTGAGAAACACATTCAGTTCCCATTTGCTTTTCCAGGAATTTGGGCTAAACCAGGCAGCTTAGCTCCGCTGAGCCAGGCTGGGAAGAGCTCTCTTTGCCCTCGGGCACCACCTCATCCAGGCTCCTGTGTCCAGAAACACCATCCCAAGAGCGGTCGCTCCGTCCACTCACCCCGAGGAGACGGAGTTTTGGGATCCTCCTCTCCTTTGCCTCAGCATCGCTGGAGCTCCTTTGGTGTCTTCACCAACAGGAGGCATCCCTTCTCCAAAGCCTCTTTGGGAGACTTTTCAATCGTCTTCTCAGCGCGTTAGACCTGTTTACAGCAGTGAAGATCCGGTGGGATAATGAGCCAGCAGGGACTTGGGTGCGAGCAGCTGCTGCCTCCACTGAGGAGTTCCTGCAGCCACGACTAAGCTGAAGGCTTCTGGCAGATGGCAGAGTAGGATCCAACCTTTTAAAACTTTTTTTTTCTGGGGCCAAATAGGGTTTTCTTCCAAAGATTTAATCG